TTATAAATTTATTTATAGATTCATTTGGGATAAAAATCTTTATGATATTTGGTCATTCTGGCTAAGAACACAAGATACTTTTCCTTTCATTCATTCAAGATACCTTATGCCTCTCAGTGGTATTTTAAAGTTAACTTCATAAAGATCAATTGTGTAAAACTTTTTGTAGTTGCATGGAGATACTGGCAACTTTTTATTTAGATGAATTTTGAAAGATTAATTCTCAAAAAGAGAAAATTACAGTGTATATTTTTGAATCATTTCCTGTTGGAACTTCAGTTTGTATATACTAAAGGAACAAAAATTATACCAATAGTTGCTGATACTTTCTCACTTCAGAGAATTTTATTTCCTATAGCATCTTAAATGTACTAGAGGTATATGTTATTTATCATAATGAGGAATGTTTTATTAATTTTTATTTTACATAACATATCCTATTTTGTTTATTTTCTAGTTAATTTTGTCTTCTAAAGATGATGAAATTATTGAATATCAGCAAATGTTACATAACCTGAGGGAGAAACTTAAAAATGCCCAGCTTGATGCTGATAAAAGTAATGTTATGGCTCTACAGCAGGTAAAATCTTCTCAAAATTTGGTTTATCAACCCGTTTTATTAAAGTTGGAACTCTGAACAATGTCTTATTTATTATTAAATATATCATCTGTGCCTAATCTAGTGGATTGCACTACTAGGTGTATAATAAAGTCTTTTGAAATTTCTTACCATCTAGTCTCAAGGAAAAATTTAGAATTAACTTTAGAATTAGGGTTAGAGTTAGGACTAAATTATTTTGTTTATTTTTCTATGTTTACATGGATAATACATCGTTTCAGTTAGGAATTATTTAATAAGAAACTGAAAAAGTTTTAGAAATTTTAAAATATCTTAATACTCCGTTATTAAGGTTTATTATGTTGTATCTTAGTCCTGATGTATCCTATACAATGTGAAATAAGCTAAAAGTGTGGTTATAATTTGACTGTGAAAATATTTTAGTGAAAATGTATTCACATAGAAAGAAGTCACATTTTCATCATTTGTGCTGTAGTCACAGTCCAGAAGTTAAGGAATATTGAGAAGTATTTAGAGAATAAGAACAATGCAGGGGACAGTATTTTTTAATGAAGTTCTAAAGGGGTAAAAGGTAAGTGGAACAAAAGAGAAAACACAGGGCAAAGCACAAACATACAAAATGGTAAAAGATAAAATTAAATGGTTGATGAGGAAAAGTCACGTATAAGGAGTTGAAAGAAGCTACAAGTATTAGAGATTTCTAGAATTCCTATTTGCCAGAGTGTTAACCATTATATCCATCCTTCAGTATTGGAGTGACAGCAGTGTACCTAACACTGTGTTGTGCATTTGAGTTGTAAAAAATAATAAAAGGCATAATTTTACTATAAGAAAATATATTCTACAGTCTTATTAAAAAAAAAGAGACCTGCCTTTTTCTTTACCTTTAAAATGTATGTTACTGTGTAATGTTTTAAAATATTTTATAGGGTATACAGGAACGAGACAGTCAAATTAAGATGCTCACTGAACAAGTAGAACAATATACAAAAGATATGGAAAAAAATACTTTTATTATTGAAGATTTGAAAAATGAGCTCCACAGAAACAAAGGTAA